CAAATAAAGATTAATTACATCTTCTAAAATATTCCTAATAAAAGTAGAAGTCACAAACCTGAGAGCTGTGACACGGAGATACTTCTGACGACCCCGTTTCCCAAAGCGAGCAGAATACCAACAAGTTAGCTTGGGAAGCTAAAGCTAGCTTAAAGTAGCTTGAGATATTTTGTGAATAAATTGCTAAACGATTTTAGATAAAACTAAAATTACAATGTCAAGACAATCATATCTGACGAGTCCATTCAGTCAAATAGTTCAAAGTTCTAACACCAGAGTTTAGTCTAGTTCTGACAAAATGTTTGATGTTTGCTAAAGTTAGCCGGCTAGCTGTCCGATAAAGGACGCATATGTGTTAAAGTTTGGAGCGAGCTCCCGGAGCGGAGAGATGCCGAGGGAGAAGCTGCCCTGTCGGCCACAGACAGACCGCCGCCGCGGTCCTACTCACCGGAGGGTCGGACCGATGCAGTTCGTGTCTGTGCTCTCGATTTCCCGCAGTATGCGTTCGTGTTCGGCGGCTGTCTCCACGCTCGCCATCCTGCATGTTGCTCTGAGCAGAGCCGAACCGCAGGGTCGATTAGTTGTTGCTACAGAGCAGCCCGGGTGGGCGGGGATTAACTCGGTGTCAGATTGGCGAGAGGGCGGAACTGTGCGGCGTTATTGTCATAAATAAAGGACTGTTTAACGTTTACAAAGTGTATTTAAATTAATAAAAATGCTCATTTTAATTTAGTTAAATTCATCGTTTAGAATATAACCTGTTTTGTGTTAGTAAAACAAACCGATCCCAAGTTGATAAGTTGTTCAACTTGCAAAACAGTTTCCAAATAACATTTTTAGGCACAATAATCATCACATTTCTTAAAGAAAGCACGTGGATGAGTCAATTTTGAGTTAATAAGATGGTAAAAATTAAAAAGATGCGCCTTTGACATATTTCTGATATAAAACATCAGTATTTTCATCTCTTAAACTTAAAAAGGCCCATTGTTTATTTTCAATCACAGCAGTTTTATATTCACTTAAAATGCGTGATTTACAGAGTGAGGATTTTGTTTTTATTGTTTAATTAAATAAAAAGCTGATTTACTTTTAAAAGGACAAGAAAATGTGAAAACGTGTTGAACATTAATGTTGGAGGATTCACTGAAATCAAAGTGACATCCAGAGAAAACGATTCAATATTTTAAAAATAATATTAAAGAGGGTATTAATTTATTCATTTGTTTATTAATTTATGTTTAAATACTGTCAGATAACGCTCATACTTTATTCAAAAACAATTACCGGAAACACTGGATAATACACTTCCTGTAATGTCCTTTCAACGTAAGACGAAGGCTACAATTTTGCCTCTTCTCCTTTAAGCTAACGATAAAAACCTGCTCTTGAACTACTATATAACTATTTTTATACCATCAAAGATCACAGTTTACTCAGGAAAGTGTTGGTTTTAAATATTTATTTCAACTTGAAATAAGTGCTTGCTTTTATTTTGTACGTAGTTTCACAACATCCGGTTTGCTAGCTTAACGCTGCTACGTTGCCCTGCTGTCAGAGGAGAACTGGAGTCAGAAAAGTTGAAATGGAGGTATACGTTAAATTAAAATTATGCTTTTGATCAGTAGCTAAGACGCGCGTTGAACTTTATTTTTATTTTACTGTTAATTTTGTAGCGTTACTGTAAAGGAGAGGGTTGTTTCTGCAGCCTGCTTTAAGATAGCCACAAAGATCAGAGTCCATTCAGAGAAAGTTCATCTGCTGCAAATCAACGCGGATTTTTATGCAAATACGTCTTTAACGAGCAGATTTAGTAAACTGTTAATCAGTTATATGTGTTTCTTGTTATTTGTTAAAAACAAAGACTCTGTTTATTTTGCAGGTCTCATTAAATCATATTTATTAGTTGGATTATTGAGCATGGGCTTTGATCATATTTATTAGTGTCACTGTGTTTGTGTTGGATCCCCCGCAGCCTCAGAAGAAGCTGATCAACAGCGTGGACGTCTGCGTGGACGAGGCTGTGCGTGGGCTCGTCAGGGCCTCCGGGGGCCTCTCTCTCCTGAAGGGCCACAGAGTTGTGCTTCGCTCCGACCTCCACGAGCTGAAGGGCCGAGTGGCCCTGCTGTCTGGAGGGGGGTCAGGACACGAACCGGCCCACGCAGGTCCGACGCAGCCCTCTTCTTTACCGTTTCTGCTCCGACTGTTTTGACCGTTCCACCTCGTTGTGCGTGTGCAGGTTACGTCGGTGCGGGCATGCTGTCTGCAGCCGTGGCAGGGGGGGTGTTCGCGTCGCCGCCTCCGGCCAGCATCCTGGCTGCCATCCTGGCCTTACACCAAGCAGGTAACGGAGCGTCAAACTGCTCAAGATGAATGAAAAACCTGAAGGATGCTGACGCTCGTCCCTCTGCAGGAGCCGCAGGGGTCCTTCTCATCGTAAAGAACTACACCGGAGACCGCCTCAACTTTGGACTGGCTGCGGAGCAGGCCCGCAACCGGGGGGTCCCGGTCGACATGGTGGTAGTAGCGGAGGACTGCGCCTTCGACCGGCCCAGTAAGGCTGGCAGAAGAGGCCTGTGCGGCACCGTCTTCATACACAAGGTGCAAGGGTCGTCTCATGGGTTCGTTCTGAGCAAACCGCTGATGAACGCCAAGAGACGGTCCAAGCGTCAGAAATCTGTCGACTTGTTTGATTTAACTTGTTTTAACGGTATTCTGTAAAAAATTGTATTTTTTACGTAAAATGTAAATTCTGTTAGTTTTAAAGGCATGCTGTTAAAAACTCCTACATTTCCCATGATGCACCCTTTCTATCCGATCCTCTCCTCAGCTGGCAGGAGCTCTGGCAGAAGAAGGCTGCCCGTTGGACCAGATTGTTACCACAGTGACGCAGGTCTTGAAGGGGATCGGTGAGTTTCATTTTTATTTCCACGTCTTCTCTTAATCCTCGCCGGTGAAACGCCTCTCCGGATGATTCGTCTCGTTTCTCAGGTACGCTCGGGGTGAGTCTGTCTCCGTGCAGCGTTCCCGGCTGCCTGCCCTCGTTTGACCTGCCGCCAGGAGACATGGAGCTGGGCCTGGGTGAGGAGGGGTCCGAGAACAGCCCCCAGATTACCGGCAGGATTAACGTTTGCTCTTTTCATA